TGGCACGACATAACCGCGAAAGTCAAAAGCGCGTCGACAACACCGCGGCGCTAAAACCGCGATGTCAAAAGCGTGCGACAACAGCGTGCCGACAACAGCACGCCGACAGAAGCGCGATTTAACTTAAGGTTAGGTTTAGGGTTAGGTTTAGGGTTAGGTTTAGTTAGGTTTAGGGTTAGGTTTAGGGTTAGGTTTAGGGTTATTTTTAGGGTTATTTTTAGGGTTATGTTACAGCGCGCTTCTGTCGGCGCGCTGTTGTCGCGCGGTTTTGACACCGCGGTTTTGTCACCGCGCTTTAGTGACACACGCTTTAGTCGACCGCGGTTTTGTGGTGGAACCGTTAGTTTATACATAGCAACGTGGAGTGAATTTTGAGTCATTGGGACTAGCGGGATGCGAATCTGCTTAATTGCTACGGGGAGTGAGGTTGAATGGAGTTTATATATTCTTTGCCGCTGGAATGCGACTTTCCTTGTTTCGCCTCCCTCCCGCAGAAACCGGAAACGGAAGACAAGGCTCTGCTCGGCGAGCTGAAGACCAGTTCTCCGCGCTCCGCTCCCAAGAAACAGCTGCCTTCCGTTCCCAAAAATGTCATGCCGATGACCAAGCCTGCTTCTCCCGCCCTCTCAGCCCAGTCGACCAATGGAACACATGCCTCCTATGGACCTTTCTATTTGGAATATTCCCTGCTGGCAGAATAGTAGGTCTTGCCTTCCGTGGCGATGAGCCCTGGTGAATTTGCTTGCTCACTCTGCCCCATTGCTGAGTTTGCATCTTTCCGTTTGCTTTAATAGTAGGGGAATCGGGACAATTTCCCCCAGGTTTTTTTTAAATCTTCTCTCAGGAATTGATGGGCAAGTCCCTGAAGAGCTTGGAAGCTTTCCGCGGAGTTCTCGAAAAGCCAGAGATCTCATAGATCGGCGATTGATAACGCTGCATCTTTTGTTAAGGGGGGGGTCGCCTTCCGGGATTCAAGATTGACAAAAGGAAAATTTCTCACGCTGGCCCTTAGCTACCCAAGATGCAGTGGGATATCGTTAGGCGGAATCTCTGGTTTGCATTGCTGCTTTGCGAAGGGACGTGGTGGCTCGGTGGCTAAGACGCTGAGCTTGTCAATCAGAAAGATGGGCAGTTCGAATAGCAATAGCAGTTAGACTTATATACCGCTTCATAGGGCTTTCAGCCCACTCTAAGCGGTTTACAGAGTCAG